AGAGCGAGATGAAAGGGAGGGCAGGTGTGAGGTTAAAGGGTTAAAGTAGGTGAACAAGAAACATAGCAGAGATGGCCTTAAATAGAAAAGTATTAAGAATGACAGTAAATGTAGAGGCTACCCACTTTTTTAAAGACAACAAGCAACAACAGAAAACGCAGCCATTTAAATCTATGTTAAAATAGCTTACGCAAAATAAGAATGCAGGAAGATGCAGTGCAGTGGGATCCAGCAGAAAAAAGGCATGCACAAGGGAAAAAAGAGCAGATCAATGGGCCTGTATCGCAACTGCACATGCATGCTGACGAGTACAAGGGAGCGAGAGCAAAAATACAGAGACAGACAAAAAAGAAAATGAGGAGGGAAAGAGCAGGGGCAAAAAAAAAAGCAATGTTAAAATACACTTAAAACAGGTAACTGTTTCTTTGAGCAAAAAGAAATTAAATGCAAATGCGCCAAAGTAACACACACACACATCCATGCCACATACATCCAATCGCGTACAATCTTAGCACTACCTAAAGTTGTCCGTAGGAATCACAGCTTTACATCAGACCTTAAAAACAAAACAAACAGACGGAAGTTCTTGTTATCATCTGATTTTTGCAGATAAGGTTAAAAGCTATGAAGCAGGCTCAGACACCGAGCGCCAAAACAGCCACAAGAGTGAATAATAGGAAAAAATGTGTAACGCCTGTTGCTGTAGTCCCTCTGCCTGCTGCTACTCACCCCTTCTTTCTCCATGTGACACTACTACCCATCTTTTTCTTCCTCTGTCTATCTGTCTGTCTGTCTGTCTCCTGGCTCCATCTGTCTCACATTTTCTTTCTGCTCTTGCTCGGCGCTTTAGTCTCGCTATATCACACCTCTCAGTCTGTGTCTCTGTATTTTCTTTCCCTCCTCTGCCTTGCATGCTTCATGGATTGCAGGCTCAAGTCCCCAGGGCAGACAAACTGTAGAGCCTCTGCTTGCCCCTCTGCCTGTTACGTACAGCATCAAAACAGCAGTAGCAGAGTGGGGGAATGAGAAATAAATATCATCCATTCATTTCCTCCCACAGCTGAAATCACTTAGACTGTAAAGGCCTGCTATATGCAGAGAAGGACAGATAAGGAAAGGTAGAGGCATACGGGAGAAAGTGCTAAAGAGAGCAAGAGCATTCAGTAGCAGAGGAGAGAAAGAAAAAAGGCAAAGATAGGCAAATAGGCAGTCACGTTTTTATCTTACAATGTTAGTTTTCACGCTCCTTTTCATTTAAGAAAAAAAAAAAATCCTTCTCCAGTCGACAAGTCCGGTATTCTGTTCCTGTCTCTCTCGCCCTCTGTGTCTGAGAGAGTGACTGGGTATTACAGCGTGCATGGAGAAAAGGAGGGTGGGAACAAGAGAAAAGGAGGGAGCAAGGAAGAGAAAATGCACCAGTTCAGAGAGCGGTAAAGGAAATGTAACTGGAAGCCTGGTGGTGCGGTAGCCTTATATTTTATCAGTATTAGTCACTGTAAAGCGCTAGGAAAGGCTTGTGCAAAAGGACGAGAGACAAGATGGTAGGAAAGCGAGACAAATGGGGAGAAGAGGGAATTACCGGAACAGGGTTTCTCTGACGGACAGCACACAATAGGCTGAGATCAATGACAGCAGAAAAATGGCCTGTGTGGTCCCACACTATCAGCCTCTTTCCCTCAGCTAGTGTAAATGGATTGATTTAACAGTGTATTCTCTTTCATTCTAAGGGTTTTCACTTCTTCAGCTCTCACCCACATTGTTCTTTATTTCTGACTTAACTATGATTAGAAACGTGTTCTTTTTTTGACTCTACTTCGGCCCTTTTTTTTTTTTTTTCTGAAGCAAATTAATTTGCCTGGACCACAGAGATCACATATTGTGATATCTAAACACATCACGTGCTCTTCGGTGCACTGTCAGGTCTCTTCATATAATCTCAATTTTACAAAGTGCCTTTCTTTACTCCACTTTCTCGCCACGCACAGAACTAACATTAGAACAGCTAAACGGGACTATTTATAGAAATTTTCAATGAAGGCAAAAACCTACACTTAGCTTCCACGAGGAGGGTGGGCTGTGTGTGCTGGGGGGGTCACTAGGGAGAGCTCCTGTATGCCTCCTGCTGCATACTGTAACACACTACCCCCATGGCCACAACAAAGCACCTCGCACGGAAAAAGGATGCAAATACGAAAACATTTTGCTTGCACTGTGACAAAAACATACGAAGCGGGGTAATTATGCACCGAGAAAATAAATAAACACAGTACATTCATGTCGTATCTACTGTAACCGAACGCTCGCTCTCTCTCTCGCAAAAGCTGCCCCGTACCAAGGGCCCCTTCTTCATTCTGGCCCACAGAGCTCCTTACCCCACCTCTATCGAACCCGGTGGCCTTGGGACAGAGAGCAAAGAGTTTAAGTGGAAACAGTCTTTCATCACCATGACACTCCCTGCTCCACACATCTGCACACAGCAGCATACCGCACTACTCGCACCGTCGCTCTCTAACGCGGCTGCATCCTGTGTCTTGTTGTATTTATTAGACTTGTTCAGAATACAAACTGTGTAAGGAGCATACTTAGATGGAACACAAATAAAGATATATACCAAATATTTTTTTTCAGCTATGCTATTCGTTAGTATATTTTACCAACAAGCCTGTATAAAAAATACAATTTTTTTTTTTTTAAAAGCCAAACTTTCTCAACGCTGATTTCATTTATATCATTTTATATTCAGCAGGAATATCTCCTAATAGGTGGCCATAACTGAAATTCCAACACCTTAAAGTGGGAGTTTAAAAAATGTGGAGTCCAGCAGAGATCAGAACGATGCAGCTAAGTGCTTCTGTAAGGAGCAGCAAACAGTCACATGGCTTGAGACAAAACGCAAGAAATTTATTTGAATACACCCCAGATTGGGCAATAAATCAGTGTATTTTACATTGCTGCTAGGAACCTAGCTGATTTCAGGGTTCTGTGGTTTTCTTGGTTTGAAGCAGTGAAAGTTGTTATTGGCTGTTTTGATCACAGCAGTGTCTTTACCACATAGCTGCACAGAGGAAATTTATCGTTTTGGTTAAGTGAAACTGAACTTTGTACATAATTGGCAACCGGGACCGTGTTCTTCCCCCTGCGGCTGTATGGTGTTTCCCTTCAGTGGCATCTCTTTCATTAGTGTGTCCCACAAACCTCACTGCAGCAGCATGTTGGTGCTTTTCACCCTCATTGTCCTCTGCTTTGTGATTGTTTGAATTTTGTATTCCTGCCACAAATAATGTCAAACGAAAGGCAATGTTTGTCATGCCAGTCCGTGCGGCATAATTTTTTATTCTATATGAGCCCTATAGAAAATGTTGGAAGAATTGAAAGAAATATCGAGAATTCAAAATCAATATTTTAGGGATAGTTACAAAAAAACACCTGACATAAAAGAATTAATTTTACAACCAAGCGATGAACCCGGCGCCCAAACAAACGTTGCACAGAAGTTGGTGTTGAGTTAAATAACCCATCAGTGCACAGAGTGAGTGGTGTTTCCTCAGGGAAAGCTAGGAGGCTGTACAGTTATCTCCTGTGGTGTCACTCTGAACTATACAACCTACTACCTCAGCCTGCGGAACACCGGAGGAAAATGCAGGATTGCTGCTTTGTAGGATGGGAGAGCAGATGGAACCTGCCTCTGCAAATGTGATTTCGCAGCATATTACGATAATGAACTGCATCGTGGCTGACATAATGATATCTATGAAATTCAAAAAGCCCTTAAAAAGAAGTCTATAACATAAATAACCAGAATATCTGTTTGTTGCTGATCCATCAAATCAGAAACCTGACTAATCAATTTTATGCAAACATTCACAAAAATCCAATTTTGCTCTGAAGTGGCCCTGTAGATGAAGTACAACACTGACCCAATGGCCACAGATATTATGTCACGTCACACCGTCATATAGCCCAGCCCTCCTACTTTGGGTGGGGTCACTGCGTGATGGCACACGTGGGATTAGTTTGGTCGAGAATATCCTGTATCCCAGGATTCAGGGTCAGATGGGGTCAGCGTTGTTTAATCGTGGGAACACAGGCAATGAGAGTGTTTATGACTGTCCGGTCAAAACCTGCTTGAAAAATAATTCCACTGATCTAGACATTTTTTTCTTGCAGGCATCAGGCAGGTGCTGTATTTGCCAGGAAGACACATACCTATAGATACGAGCTTGTGCAGCCAGTCACCACAAGTTCGGATCTACGGGTTTGTGGCAGCTGGCATTACCCCTTTAAGAGCAGATAAGAAAGACAAAATCCACAAAACATTCACACAAACGAGTCATTCTACCATCTGAACCTTTTAGCTCCACTCATTCAACATAGCCCTATTCTCATTGGGCGTTCAAGCAAATGTGACAATGGACAACACTGTAATGTTGATAGCTTTTTTTTTTTACACAGCTTTCATTATATCTATACGACTAAAACAACATTGAAGAGTTCCGTTTATTTTAACTTTAACTTTTAGAATATTTAAGCAATAAATCGCTGCTTGACACAAAAACACAATACAGATCCTTTCACGTATTTAATATATTTTATACTTTTTTAATGTAGCTCCTAGATAGGTGTCTTTTTTTATGTATCCAATAGAGGCGGACCTTGAAAATTAAGCCATGGTACACTGAACAGGCCAGAGCACATGAATGTGAGATGGACGTGGTGTTTGTGTAACCTACTGATCACATTCTTTTGAGGTCAACATTTATTTTTGAAATGTCAGACAAAATAGAATAACACAAGTTGTTTGCAGAAAAACGCAAAAAGCCCGCTATTAATGAATGATCTGGAAGCAGAAAATAAATTTGTGCTGCACAAAATACTATTTTAGCAGCATGAGTTTTTATTAAATACTACTATATGAACAAAATGTCCGAAGATCGTTTGTATTCTTAGCAAAAGGAACAAATACAACCCCCAACGGAAATGCAAAAGCTTATTCTACAACAAATCCATCATTATAAGGTAAATATTCTAAACTAAGACTAAATGAAACTATGAAATCACATGAAATCACACCGGTGCAGAATACAAAACACAGTGCCAGTTTAATTCTTAACATAAAATTGATCGTTATAAATACCTTGTGTGCAACATTCTGATAAATTTAGCAATTCCACACTGTGTTTATCTGGACTTTACGTTCGGCTACAAACTCAAGAAAATATTTGTGAGAAAACAAATAGCGAACATCATCAAAAAAAAGCATGCAGTGTGAAAAAAAAACATCATGTACGCTTCAAATGCTGTGAATTAGAAACCAGTCTGAGCCACTCTTACAGAAAGAAAACTGTTAGTATTATAAATCGCCAACATACCAGCAGGGCACAGGCTGTACCTGATGGTCAGACGTCCTCTGGAATCAGATGGAGTCAGGCTTGAGGAGTAGTGTAGGCCAATGCTTCAGCATAAAGCAAGTAACCTACAAAAGAGACATAGAAGTCATCACAAACTGACTCTGAACAGAACAGCAAGTCTAACATTCACAGATAAGACACCCGTATACACACGTTCCCAAAACCACACACTTACAAACACGTGGTGATCCAAGCACACCCGTAAAGCAAATAAACGACTAAAAACTACAAGCAGCAGAACAACAATTCAATAATAGTAACAGTTAAAAAAAAATATTGCTAAATAATAACCAAAAGTAAAAAGATAACATTCCCTCGTTGTCTCCCTGTTACGCCCTCATAACCCGCTGTCCCCATTTTCCGGGGTACAAAAACCTCAAATCGGCTTTAAAAAAAGGTACGGCAAGAGAGAAATGGCAAAAGGTTGAATGCGGTAAGATGTGGATGAGGAGGAGTCGCAGCGCAGGGCTGGCTACTGAGAAAGTGGAATTTGTGACAGAGCAAAGGAAAGGGTGGTGTTTTCTTTTTTTTTGGTGCTTCATTCTGCTTGGCTTTTTTGGATCCCAGCAGGATCCTTGGCTGCAGCTCTGTCTCTTCTTAGTGCTGCCAAAATTTGGACATATCCCTTTGTCTTAAACTCTGTTACATAAAATCAAATTGAGAGATGAGAAAAGATATAGCTTAAAAGAGACAAGAGGCAAAGGACCGGCCAACTAAACTACAGCGCAAGTTATTAAAGAAAAGGAAACAGCATGAGTGAAAGTGCACAGCAAAGAGGAGAGAAGCTTAGCAGCTGAATGCAAGGGAAACAAAAATTCTTTAAAAAAAAAAAAAGAAAAAAAAAAGCGGAAGACGGTTTTTTCGCGTCTGATTTTTTTCTCTGCAAACATATTATCTCCAAGATGCAAAGTGTGTCTTCTCTGCTGCTTCAACACAGCAGGCGAAGCCTTTCCAAAGCTATGCCACGTAGTGAGAGAGGGAGAGAGAAAGTAGCCACTTTTTCCTCTCTCCAAAATGGCTGAGGGCCGGGAGAAAGCAGCTATGAGCAGAGAGGAAGAGAGGTGCTCCCCGTCCTGCTCAGGGGAGGGCTGGGCGATTCAGCGAGCATCTCTCCCTCGTTTCCCTCTCCTCGCTCATGCCCTTTGTCCCATTAGCCGTCTTTCAGACCGGACGAATGGCGTACAGCTGTGTTGTCAGTCCACCAGAAACTCTACTTGGCCCACCATGCAGGCGAAGGCTACAACTGTAAACGAGTAAGGCTCATATGGCTTATTGTGTGTCTCCCACATGCTCACATCCTGATGCTCTGCACTGCTGTTTGTGTTAATGTGCTTTCCTCCTGGTGCTCTACGTTTCGTGTTCTAACTCAACGTCTCCCGAACGTCTCACAGGACAAGTCGCTCCTGTTTGGTCACTGAATATTTTGTATTCATGCGCAGAAGAAAGTAATCATTTATAAATCAAAGGCATTGTATGTAAATTATATGAGAATACAATATTTTATCTTTGTGTGGCTTTAGGACTCAAATATTCTGTTTGTAATTTTTTTAGTTTGTTTTGATTTTTTTTAGTAAATAATGTCTTCACTTTTTGTCTTTTGCATTGCCATATAATCCTCAATTACAAAAGTGCTTATAAAACATTTATAAAGAACACTGATCTACTGGGTCTCCTCTTGTTAGTGTCTTTCTTTCTGCTCTTACCTTCAGCACTACTTTTGACGTCACAATAGTACAGTACGTAGTTCAGTAGCTGGGCTGCTGTCGTCAATTGTACAACAGCCTCACGAGCGTATTTTGGAGCATCTCAGGGCTCTACCCATGGGCTGATTCTGGCTCTTTGCTGCCATGATCCTTAAAAGTCCTACAGATTCAAGCTAGGGCCAAAGACTACCTGCAACTGAAACCAGAGCTCATAAAATAAAGAAAACATTATTGATTATAAAAACACTGGCCATTATATTGTGTTGGGAAATATGCAGCGTTTGAGCTCTAACACTGAATTCATTCATGATAATAGTCATATTCTACTGGCAAGATTCAAACAGGCAAGAGATTGTATTTTCTAAACTCCCTCTTTGATAAAGAAATTAAAATAGCTGTGCCAAGTCTTTTACAAAAACCCATCCAGATTGTTTTAATTTCACAAGAACTCCACCCAAATCCACTATCATACACTTGATCCGGTTGTTCTCTATTTACAGCAATAAGCTTTTTGTTTCATACAGTGCGGCACTTATACCTGGTAGAATATACAGATGTGGATTTCCACTGTTTTCACACAAAACACGACTCATTTACAAAAATATTTCCACCCTGCATCCGAGAAATTAACCTACCAGTGAGGTAACCTGCACCAACATAGGAGGCACTGTTTCAGATTTTGAAATAGGTGCTCTACACTCTTGTGCAAACTGTCTTCGCTGAGGTTCCATACCAGTAAGTAGCCGCCCTACTAAAGTGTCCTTAAGCAAGACATGGAAACTCCCAACAGGACGTTGCTCTGTTTGACCCCGACATCTGACCGCTGACGAACAAGCTGGCTTGAAAACAATATTTGAGCGGCTACAAAAGGCACAAAAAGCGTCAGTACGTGCCATAATTAAGAAAAAATAACAATCACCTTCACACATAGGTTCACCCATGTATAACAGCTTGTTAGCTTTATGAAAAAGGACAAACGCTGGGTTCAGGATATTTAGTGCCCTGGATACTAGTTTTGCCACGGCATGCCAATGGGCTGCTGTCTGCTCCATGGTCACCACTTGAATCTAAATGAACAGATTTGACTTTCAGGATATTGCCAAGAACCCTGTCACAGTGCCGACACAGAGAAGGGCCTCTCCAAAAACAGAAGGTTGAGGAAAACAGAGCGACCGACATGGGCATAACCCCAAACCTCTAACAAGGTAACCCCTTAAAGCCACTCTCAGAGCCTGGGAAAACGGGGAAGAGAAAGAGGGCTGCCAACAATAGGCAAAAATCATTACTGCAGTTTTTCATACGGTAACATTATGTCAGTGAATGCAGTGACAACTGAGCTGAAGAATCCCGGCTAGACGAGCACAGATTAACGCTGATTGTTTTAGTTGGATTTTGAGATTTGTTTACTGTCTTCTTACAGCGTGTGTCCTCATTATTGTCCATCTTGGGCTTAAACTTTAAGCAATGTCCTCACAGCGGAGTTGCACATCTTCAGAGCTTAAAAAAATATATCGTGCTCTTCTCTTGCATGTTAAGAGAATAGTCCTTTATTAGGACAGCATGACCTTTAAAAGTCACATGATGACAGCCTTGTTTTACTTCTTGTTAGTCACTGGTCTTAAAACATTGTTCAGCATTATTAATGGGGTGTCGCTACAGCATGTCCAGGACAACTCAGACAAAATGTCACCTTGGTCGTCTTTCTGTAAAGCAGTCCCTATTTTGTGGTTGTGCTCCGTGCCCTCATGACGGTCTCTGCTATAGAAAGACACTTAACAGGCTGCAGGAATTTAATCTCGTCGCCAGACTATAGGACAGTATAAACCAAATAAACTGAAATTATATTTCTGTACCACAACCTGTATTTATTACTCAAGTCTTCTGTAGCAATCAGGACCAAGATGCATACTTTTATTGTGTGTCTTTTCAATTTTGACACTGTCATCATGAAAAAGTACAATTTTCATTTAAGCTGTAATTTTTATATTAGGAATGAGAGGTACACTTGAACCTGTACAACACTGTACAATAGTGGATGAAATAGTGGATGAAACGTGTATCTATTTAGGATTATGAATTATACTATTTAAAATAATATATTTAGGCAATTTAAATGCCTAAAGGGAGAATTACACACTGTGTAGTATTCTAATTTTGACACACAGAAGATTCCAGCAATGATTACTACAATTTACAGTTGAGTCAGGGTTGCATCTGCATTGCAGGAAGATTCTACAAAAACTTATACATGCCAACATTCACTCGATTCGCTGGAACCAGGGGACTTCTTGACAGCTGGTGCTTCCCAAAACACAAAAACACGCTCCAGTGATGTCAGACATTATTTCTGCCTATTGACATTTTCTAGAAAATCACAATGCTTTTTTTTTTTTTACTAGCTACTGCGAAATCTGGCATCCCAGGGGGCAGGCACTACAAATGGCTGATTTTAATTGTTTGAATAAAGCAGTCAAAACATGCAATAACCACCTACAGTCCAGTCTGTCTGAGGAATTTGCACAAGTAACTTAAACCACAAGCAACATCTGGGAAATCCACCAGAGCTGAGATTTCAGAAGCACAAAAGCTGCATGTAGGTGAAAGCTGTAAAAATAAATAAATAAAATAAACAAATAGTAATTCTATATACATATATATATATATGTTGGGTGGAATTAGTAATTTGGATAGAGAGTGAAGGGCAGGATTACTTGGAACTGTGTGCTATAATATCATTGTACGTAATCTGCTTATTCACAGCTCCTAATTACATAGCGTCATGATCATGAAAGTATTAGGTTCAAAGCCACTGGAACATTTTGTCTGCTGAAATGCTTTTTGTCTACCAAAATACTGCAGCTCACTACAACCAAAGTAGACATAAGGACATTAGATGTACCCATCTGTCTGACGGAGAGTTTGAGTGAATAAAAAAGAAGCTTGTAAAATAACATAATAAAAATAACTCAACGGTTGCAGGTGTGCGGACTGCTTACAATATGTCTAAGACAGACTTAAAGTAGTCCGTTTAATAGAATAATAGTCTGACTGTGTTTAATTTATTAGTTGTAAATGCAATGCATATGTGATGAAACAGCTGATTAACCTCCGTGAATACGATCAAAAACATCTACTTGTTTTATTCGTTCTCTGCCAAATCATTTTCCTTCATGTGCTGCATTCAGTGACATCTATCCATTGAATGTGACTTCAGCTATCTGTGGAGAAGGCCTTCATGTACGTTTCATCCCCATATTCAGCACAGTGCAACAGAGGGAATGTATAAAAGCTATGTGCAATCAGACAAGAGAGCAGGATAAAGCACCAGTGGGAAACACGAGATAGCAGCAGTATTTATCACT